TTGAATATATGAGGAATATTTAAACAAAATCGTTTATAAATGAAGCTACAAAAGAAGTCTCAAAAATTCTATCTTATGTAGATGTATAGCTATCATACAGAATATGTTTTCTGACCAGAGTGTGATAAAATTAGAACCCAATAACAAAAGGATAGCAAAATAAAGTTCCATATGTCTGGAAAGTAAAATATACCACTAAATAATTCTTGTGTTAAAGAGGAAATCCCAAGAGAAATTACATCTAAATGACAATGGCGTTCTAAATGTAAAAAATTGTGACATGTAGCTAAAGCAATATTCAAAAAAAAAATTGTTGCGTTAAATATACTTATCAGAATGTAAGAGTATTCAAAAATAAATGTACTAAGTGGAATTAATACCAAAAAAAGGAGGAAAAATAAAAATATTGATAAGAAATAATAAAATATGTGTTTTTTTTTTTTTTTTTGGTGAGGAAGATTGGCCCTGAGCTAACATCTGTGCCACTCTTCCTCTATTTTGTATGTGGGATGCTGCCACAGCATGGCTTGATGAGCGGTGTGTAGGTTTGCGCTCAGGATCCAAATCCACTAAGCCCGGGCCACCAAAGCAGAGCACGTGAACTTTACCACTACACCACTGGGCCAGCCTCTAAAATAAGTACTTTCTTAATTAAAAAAAAAAAAAAAATTAGGAATGTAAAAGCTAACATGACAGACAAAATTCTAGAAAAAACAACTAAGAAAAAAATGAAAATATTCAAATAAAGAAAAGAATAAAAAAAGGTAACAAATTATAGATATTAAAGATTTCAGTATTTAAAAATTACATTACAAAAATAGGTTAATAAATATAATGCCTAGAAGAAATATATGAATTTCTTGAGAAATGCAAAATATCAAAATTGGCCCAAGAAAAACTTGAAAACTTGAATAGAGTAATAGCTATTATAAAAGGTATTTAAAAATCTTCCTCCACAAAGGCACAGATGGTTTTATAGCTGAGAATAACAAACTTTGAGGGAACAGAAATTTCTATCTTATGCAAGTCATTAAGTCTCTCTTTTAAAAGTCATTTCTGAAAATAGAAAAATAGAGAAAACTTCTTAACTTACTTATATTGAAGCTAATATAACCTTTGTGGCAGCTTTTGATTAATCCACTCTAGTTAAGGTTTTCTGTTACTTACAGGTGGACGCTTACGTAACTAATAAAGGAGACTATAAAATTTTAGAGAGGGTCAGAAAAAAAGACTTGAATTAATCAGATATAGTCATAAATTTGGATTAAAAGAGTCACTGTGATAAAAATGCCAGTTTTCTGCAAGTTAATTTACTAGTTTAATATAATTACAATAAAAACTGCAAAGTTTTCAAGGGTAATAAAGTGATTCAAATGTTTTCTTGAATAAGTTGAAAAGTAAATGAATTTCTGAAGAGAAGAGTTAGATGGATCTGATTTGTTCCTTCAATGCTTAATATATATTCCAACAGTATTGCACCAAAGAATAATGAGAAAATGGAATAGAATCTGAAGGCCAACAGCAGTCCAGAGTGCAAAGGCACACATTCTGCAGATAATAATGCTGGCCCTCCAATCAGAGGGAAATGGTAAACAGGCATTTAATAAAAGTGCTAGCCACCTTGGCAACTACTTGGAAAAATTAAATGAGGTACCTGTCTTGTACTATACAACACATTCCAGTATATGCTTGATACCATTCATTCACTAAATACTTAACCACTAATTATATGTCAATAGCTGTGCAAAGACTGAAGATACAATAGTGAGCAAAAACTGAGGAGCTTAGAGTGTAGTAGGAAGATACATAACAGGCCAAAAGCAGGCCTGATTGAGATAATGTCAGTCTAATGTGCTTTGTCCAAATAGTACAACATGTACTTGCGCTTGAAATCATGTAATTAAGAGAAGCCTCTATAACATGAGACTCTGTACAGACTCCAACACCACGTGACTCTCCACCTCCGCCCCAGGTTTTGTGCATGATCTTGTGAAAAATATGGCACCATATAGTATTTGGGCATGCATGTTAATCACATAAAGAAATTTAAAACTGTGATAGTGGCAGTGTACAAGATACAAATGCTGTAAAAGAGTGCCACACAGTTGGTACTCAGTGTCACTCTCCTGAAGAAATCAATATATATATGTTAAATATAGAACAAAAGAGAATAAAAGAATTAGAAATGAAATGATGTGGTATTTGCCTGTTCTTGAGGTGGGGACAAATCTCCAATTCTTAAAAACCAAAATTAAAAGAAAACTACAGATTCAGTCACTCAGACTAAAAATAAATCAGCCACGTTATATGGAATGGGTCCGGATCATACAGTGGTCTACACCGAAGTCAGCAACCACTGTCTATGAAGGGCCAGATAGCAAATAATTTAGGATTTGGAGTCTCTGTGCAATTGCTCACCTTTGCTGTTGTGGCATGAAAGCAGCCACAAACAATAAATAAATAGATGTCCATGGCTGTGTTTGAATAAAACTTTATTTACAAAAAAAGGGCAATGGGCCAGATTTGGCCAATGGGTCATAGTTTGCCAACCCCTTGTCTAGATCATACAGCTGTCTACACAATGGTGTACACTTCAAACAACGTTTATGGAGCATTGAGTCCTTGGCTCAATTCAGAAAATTGAGGACATAACCTTCTATATACTATTTCTGCTTTTTAGGCTCTTTAGCTTCCATAAAAGAATGTGGACCCTACTTCCACCTCAATTATCTACCAAAGAGTAGGGGCCATACTCACTTGGCAACACGAAAGAGTTACATTATAGGCTTTTGCCAGGGCATACTACCTTGACCTCACAGCTTCAAAGCTGGATTGAGAGTTACAACATTCAAGGAAGATTTCTTAAAGAATAAGTAGTCCAACTGCTCTTCTTGGGCCAAATCAGAGCCACAGAGAAACAGGTATCTAGATGATACCTCTTCCTCCCACTCAGCCACTTCTTGCAGAACTTTCTTTTTCTGCATTGCTCCTTCGTTTGAAGACATCAGTTAATCTAGAAAGCCTTTATAAGAAATGCCCTAAGATAGGCATTGCCACTCTGACTGTAAGAGAATTCTGAGTTTTGTGATCATTATATAATAGTGTACTTCATTGTCACCAAGACGTTCCTATCTGATTTAGAACTAGGAATAGCCATAAATCATCTTAAAAACCCATGTATTTTACCTCAAGGACTCTGTGAACTCTATGAATGGAAATGGTTCAATCTGCCCTAATAATAATAGGTGGAAGAGAAACGGGTACTCTCAGCACATAAATGAATTTCTATATCACCAAGAAAAGCCAGCCTGGTGGCAACTTGGCATTAAGTACCCCAAGTCTCCAAAATACTCATATTCTTTGATCTAATAATTCCACTAAGAGAAATTAACCTAAGGATAAGTAAGCAGATATTTACTGCAGTACTACTTTTAAAAATAATTTTAAAAAGACATGGAAACAAAGAAAATGTTCTAAAGCAAGTAATTAGGTAGATAAATTATAAAAGATCCATAAGATGAAAGGGTGAATAAGCATCATTTATGGAAGAACATTTGATGACATGGAAAAGTCCTAATAATACAATTTTAAATACCAAGAGTAGGAATTTAACAGATATATATTGCATAATCCCAAATACCACTATATTGGGATTATGAGTGATATTTTGGCATTTATACAAATCTGTATTTTCCAAAACTCTATAATAAACATAATTTTTTTTTAATAAAAACATATTTGAAAAGCACATTCACTTTGATACTGGTTTCACAAATATAAATTCGTCATAAGGAATTTAAAACGTAAGTCAATATATTAGGCATATTAGGCATAACAGCAGAAAACATTTATGGCCTATTTATGATAAAACAAAATTAGAAATTAGAAACAAAAGAAAATTATAAATAAAATTAGAAATTAGAAATCTGCAATTATTGTTTTTCATTTATAAAACATTGTTTCCCAAGTGATCAAGCCCTAACAGACTTGAACCACAGGACAGTGATTTTCAACCCTCAGTACTTCAAGGTTATTGTGGGGAGGTTGTAAATAATGACATATTTGTCTTCAACAATGGAGAATGTTCCCTAACACAATGAAGAATAACTGCTTGGGGATCCATTCATCACTGTTTCTGTTTTACAGGTTGGGGTTCTGAGTAGTTAATCTGGAGGAAGAGTTTACGTGGTTATCTACATTTGCCCCTCAGGGGGGCAATTCTTGGCCTTGCCCTTGGTTCCTGGCCCTTTTCTGACAGCTCCTGCCTCAGGAGGCTACCCTCTTCAGACTTCATCTGCATCTCCCAGGCTCCGCTGCCTGAGTTTGGCCAATGGGAGAAATCAGCAGGAAGAGAGAAAGGTCTGGGTATATACCTTGCCCCCAAGATGTAGTTTTTAGTAGCGGCTGCATCTTACAAAGCTGCCGATGTAGAACGACCCTCCTTCAAAAAAGGTAATCTCTGTCCTTCCTTACCCATTCAACTAAAAAACGGTAACAGCTTCATGCTGTTGCCAGACCCTGTGCACTTCACCATCCCTTGGTAGTTCTATTAACTCTGTTCAAAGTTCATTCATTAAACCTTCTTCAATTAAACCACTTGCGTATGTCATCTGATTCCTGTTGGGACCTTGTCTATTTAGGAAAAGAAAAAAAAAAGCCTTTTTAGAAATCACTGCCTTAGAGGTCCCAGGTCCTAAAATTTCCATAAAACTGAAAAAATGTAACCTGAACTTATGAAAACTGCACATTTAAGCTATAGCTTAAAATTACGGAACCAACAAGTTGCAAGCTGTCATTATGACAAATAACAAGCATTTAAATTAATGATTGTGGAATGAGCTTTACTTAAATTTTAACTTGAAATTCAGTGAGATTCAAGACAACCTGTTATTAAAAGTCTTTCTTTTGAAAACTGATTATTCTTAATATCTTTTTCAAACAAAAATGTATACTTGATAATGGACAGGTACAGAAAAACACTTTGCAGACCGGCAGCTCACCTCTTTGAACTTGTGACTGAGCTTGCTTGTGTCCAGGTCTGAAGGGGAAAACATGTCCTCATTCTCAGGCAGCTCAAAGACTTCAATGGCCATGTCACTGCCAGGAAGAACAGGTCCCACCTCATCCTCCTCTTCATCTGTGGCATATTCTCCTGTCTGAAAGGAAGGGGATTTCAGAAATCCAGCTGTCCTTAACCCAGGTGGAGGGGGGTTATTTGAAAATATTTTCTAAAACAGAAATAAAACATCATCAAATGGTAAAAGTGTAAGTAGGCTTTAAAGTCAAGCATGCCTGATGCAGCCAATGTTATATACAAATGTTAGTTCAAAGATCCAAAGTGATATGTCCATGCCATATATAAGTGCATTTCTAAAAACCTAACAGCGTGGGTAGCATCTTCAGTATAGTAACAAAAGTTGTTTTCAATCCAAGTATTTGACGGTTTTACTAAATAAAATTATGTTGCTAAGGGAAATAAGTTCCCTTTAAATTCTCATCACCTGTATGAATAAGTCACCCAATATTGAGAACAGGGAAGAAGGAAGCAAGGGAGAACAAATGATTCACAGAGTTGGAAGGGACCTTAATTAAGCCTTACAAAGGCTTAAGATTAATTCTCCTAAGCTTTAGAGTTCAATCAGTTCTGTTTGGTTTGTTTGTTAACTAATGTGGTGGTTAATGAGTGACCTAAAGGATAAACCAAAGGTTTCTAACTTACAGCTTGCACAGGTGTATTGCTTTGCCTGCACAGTACTTTGATAAATCTTAGTATTTTGTCAATGGTAAAAAAAAAAAAATTCACGTAAGATTCTAGATTTCCAGTTTTTCTTGAGAAAGCTAAAGATCTGGCAAGATAGACAAAGGTCAGCAGGTCAGGTCAGCCGTGGTTGCCCCTTTTAGATGGGTCACACACTTTCTAACACATCACAACTTCTATAACTCCATATTGTTCTATGCTGTTAGCTTCACTCCTTCATGATACCCTCAGTCCCCTGTAGGTATCTGAGTTCATGACCCCTGGAATAAATGCTCCTCCTCACCACTAACTTCCTTAACATTATTAAAAAGTATTTCCTCTCCTGGCAGCATCAGGAAATCTGTACCTTATGATATAATTTAAAGATAAATCACTGATTCACAAGGTTGAAAAACAAAGTTCATTTAATTCACCCCTGTTCTTTCAAGTAGTATTATATCTAATACATAAAACAGATAAGAATTCATATTGCCTTTAAAAAAACTTTCATGAAGTGTTCTGAGTGATCTATTCCTTTGATTAAATAGGCTTAGCATCTGATTGTTCTTTCTTTAGGTTCTGTACTATATTCTTGCTAAAGTTTAAACTCTATTTCTTTTACTATGTTTGTGCATGAAGGAAATCTGGTCATCGACCTCAGTGTAATAATTCCTAATGTCTGGAAGACCCTTATTAAATTGCCATTCCGACTTCTCTTTTTCAAGTAAATAATTCTAGTTTCCTCATAAGTCTCATTCTCTGTAACTGTCTTTGTGCCTGTACTCTGTCTTCTCTCCAAGTTCTCCACATTTCTCTTAAATTGCGGAGCCCAGAAGTAAACACAGTTTCTAGTAAGGAATCTGAGGGCCACTGACCATGATGAACGAACTGCCAGCATCCTTCAGACTCTACTTCCCCACACAGAGGTTATTATCATTAAGATCTTGACTTTGGTGGCATTTGTGTTCAGAAGTAAGCTCAGGATGTTTCATACAGAGCCGTGATTTTCCAAACTGGTTACATGTTAGTTAGCATTTTTTTTTTCCCCAGACAAAATCAGAGATGCTTTGACTGAAAGGGAAAGAGGCTGATGGCCTCCATCTTCATCCTATATAGCTCCTCAGTACCTGGAACCCTAGGACTCTGTAGAAATCCAGTCTGAAAATATCTAAACTATAAATACCATTCATTCCAAGCGTCCTTAGCACTGGCAGGAGAAGGCAGCTGAAGAGTGGGGGTTGGTTGGTTCCAGATAAGATAGCTTCCATTTGTTGGTATGATTAGATCCTACAATCTTAAAAGGACTTTAATTCCAGATTTGGTATTTTTTTTGGTAATATTCTATAAATTAATTCATCTCCTATTTATATATATTTTAGAACAAATAGGTACTTTATAAATCCCAGTGATGTTAATTAATAGAAATGCAGCAAGGCTGGTAAGTACACAACTTCAAGAGACCTTGATGAAAATTTTGATTTAGAGATATAAAACAATGTGCTTGTTTTTAACCCTATAATTACACCAAGCAGCAAAGCCATACCCTTATTATCAAGGCTTAAACCAAGTATATAAAATTTACTTCTGTATCATCAATTTGATGAATATCATGAATGACTCAATAAAACCTTAAGCTAAATTTAAAGTCTGATGACAATCTGGCACATTTTGAACCTAAGAGTTGAAACGAACAACTTGATTTCCCCTTGTCAGCCTGAAAATAGATACTCCTTCACTACGTATAAGGGAATTAATATCAATATGTGCCTAGGATGGGGCCTGATGTATAACAGGATTCCAACAAATATTTTTAAAAGAATAAATCCAAGAATGCCAATTGTATTTACTTGGTAATATCTATAACCTCCTAAGGAGATTTTCAATAATATCAAGAAAATGCACTGCAAAGTCACTTGTTAAGAAGGCAGTATTCTGTCACATTTATTTTTTAACACTCCTTATAGCAAATAACTATTATATACCCTAAATATATACCCTAAATAAGGATTAGTGTACATACAATCTTGCAGTTTTCACCTCTAAGTATAGTTCTGGTTTTGTCATTCATTTTAGTCATCAAAATTATCTTCATAATGTAAGTTATTAAGAATTCTTCCTCTTGATTCTTTTATTTTTTGACTTCGCCAGTCTCCTCTCCTTCTCAATACTCAAATTACCTGCACTTCTGCTAAAATTCGTTTTATCTTTCATTTCATCTTTCTATTTACTAATGTTTTCCCTTTCTAATCAGTCTTATAAGCATCCTGAGGACAAGACAGGTCTTGTACTACTTATTACTTGTCTTGATTCTACTTATTACTTATTAGAGGCTCTGGTAGGGTGTTTAAAAACTTTATGTTGCCATTCTCTCTCACTAATCATTTACCATTCCCACCCTGAATAGGCTTTAGAATAAAGAATTATTTACTAAAGAACTGCATAAACAGCTAGAAGTTAAAAAGTTACATTGAGTAGACTGAGAATAATGTGTTTTTCTTATTCTTTTACTTTTATTGAAAAGGGACATTACTTTTATGGTTAATCTGCAAGTAAAATAAACTACATGGAATGATATGTTAAGCAGAATTTCATAAAGATCAAAATTACATTGGATTGAATCTGACATTTACAGAGCAAGACAGACAATAATGTACAAAAAAAAATTTGCTACAACAATGTATTTCCACTGGTATCCAGCTCCTTCTCTTTATTTCCAGCCAGATTCAACATCTTTCAAGTAAACAGAGACTCTTGATAGTTCTTTGTCCCAACCTGCAAATCCACCTCAAACGAGCTAAGAATAGTTCTTAATCAATAGCTTAATTAATAGCTTATACTTTTTAATAGCCCCCCAAAAGGGGCAAAAAAATGAATAGCAATTATTTTGTAACTTACTGTGTGCCCAACACTGTACATACCTTAAAAACTGTATGATATAGGTATTACTATACCATCTTAATTTGAGGAAACTGAGACTCAGAGGTTTTACCCAAAGTCAGACAATTAGTTCGTTGAACCCACATCTAACATTCCAAAGTCTATGCTCTTTCTTCTATACTATGCTGTTTGGAGTCTACAGAAACTAAAGCTTTGCAGGAAAAAAATGGGAATACATTGCTTTCATATTTCCCCAACCAAAAACCCTGGTGCATAATCCTGTTGTGTTGAGATTCACCTTCCACATCTTTAAACATTATCATTCAGTTCACTTTGAAGACCTGCACCTGTCTCTAGTGAGCTCCAAAGTTTTTGTCCTCTTCTTTCTCTCATAGTATGCTCACCCTGGGCAAGTGCACAGAAGTCTCCTTCAAAAAGCATGGCTTACGGGTCTGCTGACTGATGTTTCATGCACTCTTTCTTATATAAACCAGAACCATAGCATATAATCTATAGAATTATTGCAGTGCCTTACAATGGAAGAAAAAGATACTTGCAAGGCAAAATGAGTGCAAAATTCCTCTAGTGTCTATGGTTTGTCTCTTTTACACTGCCTTCTCACATCTAATTTTCTTGAGCTACATGTCTGTACTGAATCTTCCCAAAGCATTTTATCTCATTTTCATAGACACAACTTTCTTTATACTCATATTGTATCAGAGCATTTAATATTTTGTTAAAACACATAATTACAATAATAAGTACAGCTGACAGGTTCTGCCTCAGTAAACACATAACTTTTAACTAGCAGGAGCAGAAGCACATAAACACACTAGAGCCTTGAACACTCAGGAGAGCTGTAGATCTCAGTCTAGGTTTTACAGAAAGGACAGACAATAACTGTTATATTGGGGAGTTGGTTAAATGGAGACCAATTGAAGAATCTTGGTTTTGAAGTCAATTAGGCCTGGGTTCAAATTCTGGCTCTGTGAGGTTGGTAAAGTTAGCTTCCAGATCTAAGTTTCAATTTCATCCTCTATAAAGTGAAGATAAAAATAGTTCCTTGGGGGGCCAGCCCGGTGGCACAAGTGGTTAAGTGTGCGCACTCTGCTGTGGTGGCCCGGGGTTTGCCAGTTTGGGTCCCAGGCGCGCACCGACGCACTGCTTGTAGAGCCATGCTGTGGCGGTGTCCCATATAAAGTAGAGGAAGATGGGCACGGATGTTAGCTCAGGGCCAATCTTCCTCAGCAAAAAAAAAAAAAAAAGGAACATTGGCATCAGATGTTAGCTCAGTGCTGATCTTCCTCACAAAAAAAAAAAAATAGTTCCTTGGTATAACAAGGTTGTCATGAGATTAAGTTAGTGCCTGTAAAGTGTTCAACACAAGGTCTGGCACATGGCAGGTGCTCAAAATAAGTGATTCTGCTGCTACCACTGCTGCTGCTACTGCCGGTACTAACACCACAACAGCAATGTGCTACAGCTTCTCCAAATCTGTATCTTATAACCAGATATTTGCTAAGTTGTGGTCTTATAATGTCC